GTTTAGGGAGGATGGAATATCGATCCTTATGAGCGTTTGGTATAGAAGACCTTTCGGATCCTATATGCATGTGTCCACACTAGTGCTCGGAAGGCAGGGTGAGAAACAATTAGGCTTCATGATTCATCAAACTGCCATGGAATTTAAGGGCTAACTCCACTTTTGTGTGAAAAAAAATAGCAAATGATAAAAAAAAATAGTATAGTGTATATACTGTAACTGCGACACAAGTTATATTGTAATTGAAAGTTATTACTTTGCGTTATATAAATCCTGTATAATGCCCCTCCCTCTTCGATTGTAAGCTCCGAGGAGCAGGACCCTCCTATCCCTCTTGTATTGAACTGTATTGTTGCTGTATTGTCTCCCGTTATATTGTAAAGCACTGAGCAAACTGTTTGCGCTATATAAATCCTGTATAATAATAATAATAATTTTACTTTTCATTTTCAACCTACAGCTCTGTAACCCAGGCTTACTCTGCACATGGACACAGACAAACAAACAGCTATTTCTTCAGATTAACAAAATGAAGGAATCTGCAAAAAGGTTTGTTAAAATCCCTGCAATGTACACAGATCACCCAGAGGGGAATGTTTTTTTCCCCCCTCAACAAAAGTGGAGTTACTCTTTACGTGCACACAAAGGTGTTTTTTCCACCAATATTAGCACGTCATTTTAGCATGCCCCATAGTATGTTCATTTTGATGGAATCAGAAAGTCTTGCTGTTTGTGTCCTGGTGACAATTATCTCCAGTTCATAAAGCGATATTTAGTCCAGAACGGAACAGCAGTTAAGGGGAAATCCTTCAATGGGGACAATGATTTCCCAATGCTTTGAAGAGATTCCCTCTCATTTCCGCTTATGACTCTTGGACAGGAAGTAAAAGAAAATCTCCTTGATGGGACATAGCAAAAAAAAAGAAACAAAAACCCTGACAGGTGACTTTACCATTACCCGCTCTATGATGAATCAAGGTCAATGTCTTGCTGTTTTGTGTCTAAGGATTTACCTAGGAGGCAAATACTGGTGTTAGCCTCCTAATTCCTAAGGACAGCTGATGGTGGAAACGTTATTTAGAGCTTCCAGTGGTGATGTACTTCCCAGATGTAGTCCTCATGCACACTGGACATTTTGATAAAGCTGGTACACTTAGCTGTGTAAAGTCACGTTAAAACCGTGAAATTTTCAGCATTTTTTAGCGTTTTTTGCATTAGCGTTTTGCTGCATTTGCGTTTTTTAACCAGAAAAAAATATTAATATCCAAAAATGCTGGTTTTGTGGCGTTTTTCAGCGTTAGAGCGTTTTTACAGCTAAAAAACTCTTCTAGAAACCCACAAGTCCTGAGTTTTTTTTCCAGCCAAAAAACGTTGATTCCAGTCTGTGTGTGCATGGACACATAGGATAACATGGGGGGGTTTACTAGCTGTAGAAAAAAAACATCAAAAGCCAAAAACAGCCGCTGTAAAAACGTCCAGTGTACGTGAAGACTTAGGGTCTGACACCGGTAACTGGCAGTTCTCCTTTAACCTCTATCAACAAGCTGTTCCCATCTATAGAACTGTCACTCACTGGACCTTTTTTTTTTTTTTTCAATTACACCATCCGGCTGCTTAAACCCCATAAAAATCTCAGGACAGCAGCAGTTGCAGAAACACTCAATGCAGCCCGTCTGGCACCATCAGTTTTTCACCAATTTTAGTGTTTGATGTGAATGAACATTGAAGGCCCATTCACACATTTGCATTGCAGCAGTGGTCTCATTACATGTGTTATGGGCCACTCGGTTTGATGGTGCCCTTACACACCAAGGCAATACATGCATTGAGCTGCTTCCACGATTGGCTGATTAAAAATGTAACAAATAAGCAGATATATTGGTGTACCTAAATAAATTGATTGGTGGGTGTATACAGCGTCATCACAGACTGCAATATTTTACAGTACATACAAATATTCTCATCAGGCCAGTGTGACTGCTATAGTCGTGCACTTTGTCATTATTATTTTTCTCTTCATTAAGGGCTAGTTCACACTAGCATTGGTCTCTGAAGAGCAATCTGTGTTCAGAATGCTCTTCAGAGCATTTGACGGGCAGTGAGGAGGTGTATTGCCTCCTCACTGTCTGTTTTAACCTCCTAAGCGCCACACTGCTGTCTTGCGGGGAAGTTGCACTGCAGCCCTATGCACTTGAATGGGCACTAGCACCTGCCGAAAATGACACGAGGCACAATTCCTGCCGTGGCCATGATGCTCGTTGCCACCCAACTGCTAGTGTAAATGAGCCATAACAGTTCAGTATTGGTAGTTCATAGAAAACTGACTGTGCAGAGGATTTGGTGATAACCATTCAGGTATACTGCAGATAGCGCATGCACCACCTGTTGTGTTATTCACAGTGCAATAGGTAATACATGTAGACTACATAGAACCATTCACATTGCACTGTGACAGAGAAGCCTGCACTCGAATGTCTCTTTCACATTCATCTGCAGTATTCTCATATAATATTCTACAGTGCTATACTGATTACTCAAATTAAATATAATAAACATCATATTATATAATCATATTATTAGAATTAATACCCATGTATGTGGCAGAAATATATATACAGGCATACCTCAGTTTACAAATTTAATGCGTTCTGCAGGATTTTTCGTATTGCGAAAGATTCATAAACTGAAACGCGGTTTCCCATAGGAATGCATTGAAAACCAATTCTTCCGTTCTGGAGGTCAGAAAAAAGTAAAAAAAAGTCTTATCTGTTCAAAACTCTTTATAAAGTGCACTTTAAAGGCATAGTACTGTACAGGGACATAATTAAAAACAAATTTGTAAATGCATTGAAAACCAACTAATACATTCCGGAGGTCAGAAGAAAGTCTGATCTGTTCAAAACTCTTTATAGAGTGCACTTTAAAGGCATAGTACTGTACAGGGACATGATAAAAAACAAATTTGTAAATGCATTGAAAACCAATTAATGCGTTCGTATTGCAAAAAAAATTTGTAAAACAAAAATTACGTTAACCGAGGTGTTCGTAAACTGAGGTACGCCTGTATATATAAAACCCTGACAGGTTCCCTCTCCACTCTATCCAATACCAAAAAGAAATAAATATATTTTGCCTTCAGTTATACTTTAAAGTGGAACTCCAGGAACTCAGACACTTTTAGGCCTAATGCACACTGGATGTTTTTAAAGCTGCTTCTAGGGGCCTCTGGCATTTTTTTTCTGCCTCTAAATGCCCCTGCATGTTAGCCTATGTGTCCATGCACACATAGATGTTTAGAGGAATTTAGAGACGGGGTGCCTAGAGGCAGCAAAAACCCCCACTGCCAGTACATCAAGCAGCAGCGGTGTTTTGGCAGGAAAAAAATGATTGACACATGTAGATACGACAAAACTCCGCATAAGTGCTAATTTAGCGCTTAAGCGTTCATTTCCAGACCAGAATAAATTATTATCACTAATTTAATTAACACCCAAGCGCTTGATGTGCCTAAATCTGTTACATGCATCAAGCATTTTTTTTCTGCTAAAACACCACAGCCAGGAGAAAAGGCATCTAGGGGGAGATGGCAAAATGTCCAGAGTGCATGAGACTTAATAAGTGTGCTGGCTTACTATGGGTTAAGTCTAATGAGCTGCATGCCACCTAGTGGACTTATCTCTCTAATTTACAACTGACAGTTTTAGTGAGCCCAGAGAGTATAGCTATCACTATATCCCCAGCGCTCTGACAGGAGAGTTGCTGCTGCTCTCATACAGCAACAGCACCAGATTTATAGTGTGAATTGTATTCCTAGCACTCAGTAAAAATGTAAATAAAAGATATAAATCTACAAGGTGGCATGTGCTTCATTGGAATTAACCCATAGTGAGCCAGCACATTTTAGACAGGGGTTGTATTCCTGGAGTTCAGCTTTAAAGAATTTTAAGCTGCAATATATTACATTTTTGCTTTCGGGTTTAAAAATATATACAAAAAAAAGAGGAAATGTAAGCAGCACATACCTTCACCTTATCAGAGAAAAAACAGCAGTGACAGGACATGAGTTTCCTAACCTGTACAATTGCTAATACCCCAAGAAGCTTCAGCCAGCACAGTCTAATGGACATCTCATAGACAATAGATGACCACCCACCCCACAGACAGTGTCGAGATCAGGAGACTATCTGTGGGCAGATTCAGGCTATTCACTACAACTGCAGCAACCACAGGACGTTCACTCACAGAAGGTCATGCATAGTCAAGCTGGGGCAGATGTTTGAAGGTATCGGGTTGTTATGACCAATAGTACAAGCTGACCACAGTGACAAATTACTGAATTGCCATACACAAGTACACTGCTCCCATATGACAGGCAATCACTGCTGCTATCAAGTAGGGCAGAAAGTTCCCAACAGGAACAAAGGTTAGGGTAATGATATCACTTCTTTAGATACCACTTTTCTGAATGCTTGGTAAAAAAACGTTCCATTCTTCACATTTTCATTTAGGTATAATACATATGTAAAATCTACAGTTCTGTTTATAAAAGTATTAGTACTTAACATAAAATGGAATTCTATATTAGTTACCTTCAGCAGGACATTAATAGGTGATGAAGGTATGAATAGGACATAGGCACTCTGAGTGTTCTATTGTGACTTGACTTAAATGGTCTGTGGATCACAAAAGTTTGGGAACTGCTGCCTTATGGCACGACTATTTACTGAAAGGACAGTTCATACATCTGCCTCACTGGGAATGTACAGAAGGATGCTGATAATTAGTACACAGTACATGTACCACCTGTTGTGCTATTTACAGTGCAATAGGTAGTCACCTTTTTGCCTATAACTATATTGTAGAGCAAGGTCACACTGTAGATCAGGATGAAGGTCAAAAGATGTCACACATTCTATCATTGTTAGGAAAATGAGGACATTGAGTGTTAAGAGCAGGCTCACCTGGACACTCATGGTTTACCTAAAGAACTGCAATAAATGTTAAAGTTTATATTTACAGATAAATAGTGCAGCTTGCTCCAGTAACATTGTGGAGTATTTATGGATGTTTTCACCAAGGAGATATGCCTGTTCTATAATCAGGTCCTTGTAAAGCACAGCTTTCTCTGCAATCAGAGTTGAAGCTTCTGATAAGTAGATAATTATAGGCTGCAGGTACCCATCAGTGAACGGAGTTAAGTCAATATATGGAACAGAGTAAAGAGCCACCAACATCAAAACCAAAACTAGAAGTGCCACAGCTCCAGTTCTAAGAGAGGGGAACTTCAGATGAACTCTTTGAGGCTTGGTGGGTGTCTTCTGCGGTAGACCTAGTTTATCAACATCTATGAGTCTGATGTTATCCCACATGCTGGTATCAAAATTTTTCATACAAGAAATGGCAGCGATATCTGCAGGAGATGGCAATGGAGCTTTAATACGTTGAACTTTTTCTCGAAACTCCTCCATTTTCTGAAGAAAAAGAAATGGATCTGTGATGTTCTTAAAATCCTCAACAATGTCACAAGCCTTCTTCTTCTCATTCATAATGGAGTTCACATTGTTGATCTCTGGATCATACGCTTGCATGACTTCGAGTTTCATTGTTTCGAAATCTGAGAGGATTTCATTTTTCTTCTGCTCTAGCACATGCTGCAACTTTTCAAAGTAAGCCTTCACTGTGTCAGAATCCTTTGTCAGCAACTGAAGAGCTTCTCTCTTGCTGGTCTCCAATACATTCAAGTGGGTTTGGATGTCCATGTTTTGCCAGTTTTCAATCCCATGGCACAAGGTTTCCAAAGAACGCTTCTCCTGACTATAGGCATCATCAAAGGAGGAGAACACATGGTCTTTGTGCTCTCCACTGGTAGCACAGAAACCACAGATTAGCTTTAGGTCTGTGGAGCAAAAGATATTAAGGGGTTGTCCATTGTGATCCTTACATATTGGCATGGTTGGAGTGGCTTTAATCTTGTTATATTTCTCCACAATTCCTTTTAGCACATAGTTAACCTGATGGCTGTTGCCACCCATTGTTGAAATTTCTTTACGACAGGTAGGACATTTAAAGCTAGAAGGTCTCCATAGCAGGTGCCTAGAATTGCCTTCAAGAACACCTTCTAAGCATTTCTTGCAGAAATTATGTGAGCAAGGTAAAACTCGAGGGTCCTCAAAGACACAGTGACAGATGGGGCATTTCAGCTCTTCTTCCAGAACATCCATTGTATTCTAAAGAAATGACACAAGTCAAACATAACATTCCAAGACAACATAATCACTAAACTTCACGAAGCATGTATAAGATCTTATTGTGCAGTTTCTTATATATGGGTGCACAGAAAATCCTGCTCATCAAACTAAGCCGGCTTTAACAGGCCATAATGTCAGATAATGGTAAAGCCAGAACTATGACACTGCAATGTATATATACATGTCTCTAAATAAAACTAACAGAAGTAAAGATGACTTACAGTGGGGCAAAAAAGTATTTAGTCAGCCACCAATTGTGCAAGTTCTCCCACTTAAAAAGATGAGAGAGGCCTGTAATTGGCATCATAGGTAGACCTCAACTATGAGAGACAAAATGAGAAAAAAAAATCCAGACAATCACATTGGCTGATTTGGAAAGAATTTATTTGCAAATTATGGTGGAAAATAAGTATTTGGTCATCTACAAACAAGCATGATTTCTGGCTCTCACAGACCTGTACCTTCTTCTTTAAGAGGCTCCTCTGTCCTGCACTCATTACATGTATCAATGGCACCTGTTTGAACTTGTTATCAGTATAAAAGACACCTGTCCACAACCTCAAACAGTCACACTCCAAACTCCACTATGGTGAAGATCAAAGAGCTGTCGAAGGACACCAGAAACAAAATTGTAGACCTGCACCAGGTTGGGAAGACTGAATCTACAATAGGCAAGCAGCTTGGTGTGAACAAGAACTGTGAGAGCAATAATTAGAAAATGGAAGACATACAAAACCACTGATAATCTCCCTCGATCTGGGGCTCCACACACGATCTCACCCCGTGGGGTCAAAATGATCACAAGAACGGTGAGCAAAAATCCCAGGACCACATGGGGGGACCTAGTGAATGACCTGCAGAGAGCTGGGACCAACGTAACAAAGGCTACCATCAGTAACACACTACGCCGCCAGGGACTCAGATCCTGCAGTGCCAGACGTGTCCCCCTGCTTAAGCCAGTACATGTTCGGGCCCGTCTGAAGTCTGCTAGAGAGCATTTGGATGATCCAGAAGAGGATTGGGAGAATGTCATATGGTCAGATGAAACCAAAATAGAACTGTTTGGTAGAAACACAACTCGTCGTGTTTGGAGGAGAGAGAATGCTGAGTTGCATCCAAAGAACACAATACCTACTGTGAAGCATGGGGGTGGCAACATCATGCTTTGGGGCAGTTTCTCTGCAAAGGGACCAGGACGACTGATCCATGTACAGGACAGAATGAATGGGGCCATGTATCGTGAGATTTTGAGTGCAAACCTCCTTCCATCAGCAAGGGCATTGAAGATGAAACGTAGCTGGGTCTTCCAACATGACAATGATCCCAAACATACCGCCCGGGCAACGAAGGAGTGGCTTCGTAAGAAGCAATTCAAGGTCCTGGAGTGGCCTAGCCAGTCTCCAGATCTCAACCCCATAGAAAACCTTTGGAGGGAGTTGAAAGTCCGTGTTGCCCAGCGACAGCCCCAAAACATCACTGCTCTAGAGGAGATCTGCATGGAGGAATGGGCCAACATACCAGCAACAGTGTGTGCCAACCTTGTGAAGACTTACAGGAAATGTTTGACCTCTGTCATTGCCAACAAAGGATATATAACAAAGTATTGAGATGAACTTTTGATATTGACCAAATACTTATTTTCCACCATAATTTGCAAATAAATTCTTTCCAAATCAGCCAATATGATTGTCTGGATTTTTTTTCTCATTTTGTCTCTCATAGTTGAGGTCTACCTATGATGCCAATTACAGGCCTCTCTCATCTTTTAAGTGGGAGAACTTGCACAATTGGTGGCTGACTAAATACTTTTTTGCCCCACTGTATACATGAATGACCCATTTGCTACTGTGTGCAGCCAAGGACCATTTCTACAAAAATGCATATGTGCCTCACGTCACCTTTGCTTTCTGGCAGAACTATATGTTGAACAGCTATAAAAGTCACTGAAGTTGATAAAATGATTATATTTGACAGTTTGAAGTAGATGTTTCCTTATTTTCTATCTTGGGGTCAACCTTTATATCAAACAATAAGTGAAGGAATATCTCCAATGGAGCCTCTGACAGCATTAAAATCTGATGGGGGGGGGGGGGGGTTTCCAATCCTGCCACACTCTATCCAAAGCTTAAAATATGGGGTATAGATACACTTTAAAGTACAGCTGAACTCAAAAAGCAATTTTCATTTGTAATAGGTATCATCTAGAAGTGTTAAAGCCTGTTTAATCAAGTGTGCTACAGCGTACACCCGAGTGAGGGCCACTCACATGGGGATGCACCATTGTTTCATGTATGCCTGTGCAGGCAGTTTCATTCATGTTAACTGGGGTGCAACGGCTGCATGGACACAGCTGCTGCATCCAATTTGACAGCTGTGGAGGTTTACGCCCCAAGCGTAGACAGTGTGCACCCGAACAACTGTCAGATTGGCAATGGCAGCTGTGTCCATGCAGCTGCTGCATCCCAATTAACTTGAATTTGACTGCCTACATGTGGACACAGGGAAAACTTGAGGGGGGGGGGGGGGGGCGGGCAGGGATCACACAGGGGCCCAATCACAGCAGGAAGGGGATAGGAGGGGTGGCAGGGCAGCATGTAGAGGAACCGATCGCCTTCATTTTCCACCTGCAGTCATGACATTGATCGGGAGGGGGCTGGCCAGTGCTCAGCTTTCTCAGCAAAATTCTAGATTTGCATACCTCAGCCCCCTAATTTTGGGTCACCAAGGGCACTACGGAAAAATGTATTCCATTAGTGCAGGTATCTGAGGTTGTCTGTATTGTAATTATATGTATTTATAAAAATAAGTGTTACATTTTACCTTAGGAACTCGACTTTTAATTCTTTATGTTACTTGATTTTTTTATTTAATAAGATACTTTTTGTAGACATACTGTGCTGTAGCGAGTACTTCATAACTTCATGGCCAGAGCAAAAGTTGTGACTCTGCACAGCCAGCGATTACCTGCGTTGCATCCAACAGCTTAACAACTACAAGCCAGATGGGACTTGTAGTTCATTCATTCATTCACAGTTCTCTGTGAATGAATGACACAGCTGTGCAGGCAGAGACAGCGGGTGCGGAAAGAGGATCCTCCACCCACTGTCTTAAGGAATGTGGGGGACTGCTCCAAAGTAACATTACGCTATATAACATGTTACAAAAGGTGAAACTCCTTTAAAAAGTTGGATGTCCCATCACTTCCTGCCCTGGTGTAAATCTATCCATCGAGCACAAAGACCTGGGGTTGTAACATTGCACCACTCATGCACACAGGGCATCTGTTTAGCCCCTCTTGCAGGAAAAAAGATGCTTAAAAAATGTGCCTAAAGCTGCGTGTTGCATGCGCATTAACCACTTCCTGTCCGGACACTCTTACCCCCTTCCTGTCCAGGCCAATTTTCAGTGCTGTCACACTTTGCATGACAATTGTGCAGTCATGCAAAGTGTACCCATATACTTTGCATGACCCATCTGTACCCATATGAATTTTTTTTTTTGCATTTTTTTGAGACAGATAAAACTTTATTTTGGTGGTATTATTCACCACTAGGATTTTTATTTTTTTTGCTATATAAATGAAAAAATTTTGTCCAAAAATTTTGAAAAAAAGTGTTTATCTTATAAAATGCCGCAAATAAATAATCTTTCTTCAGAAATCTTGGCCAAAATGTATTCAGTTATCTTTTTAGTAAAGAAAAAAGTAACCCAAATTAGTTTATAACCAAAAATTATAATTTAAAAAAAAAATTCACATATTTTATTTTTTATATTATTATTTATGGGTTTTTTTTTTTTTAACATACTGACACCCTAGCAGCACAGTGTCACCATAGTGACTGTACTACTTGTGGGGGGTGATGAAGATTTTTTTTTTTTTTTGTACACTGATTGCTTTTACAGCCTTTATGGGTGTAAAAGCAATCATTTCTCCTTCTCTCTGGCTGCATTCTTGCAGCCATTGAAAAATACTGTGTGAGCTGTGATTGGTCACAGCTTGTCACATGGTACAAGGCTGTTGTGAATAGCCTTGTACCATGTGACCTTTCAGAGAGAACCATACAGGGATCTGTTCTAGTAATTGCCCCTTCGCTGTGCTGATCACCCTCCCTGCCCACATCCGATTCACTCAGCAGCTTGTGCCCCCCCTGCTGTCCTGGGCCCCATACAGGAGGACTGGTGGCCCCCCCTTAACCACGGCCCTGCCCGGCAGCCTTAGCAGCTGTGGGCTTGTAGGTTTCAATAAACTACTACGGTGCTGTGGAGTGCTGTGGTAGTTCATTGAAGCTTCGTGTCAGAATATCTGCTTAACCGTACATCCCGTACAGCATGGAGATATTCTGACAGGTCTGCAGGAGACATGCATGGCATCAGTAATCTATTGATCACTGGTGCAATGCTTTCCAGGCTCCTGTGGACAAAAATAATAAATGCACATTTTTTTACCTGCAAAAAAAATGCATGGATTATTTTTGTCCAAAATGTAAACTTATCCTTTAAGACTCTCCAAGCATTTGAGCATCAAAGAATTCCATTGGCCAGAATAGTCATTTATTTCAGCCACTGGAATGCTTAACGTTCAAACGTTCTAAACGCATTTACACACGTTGTCTGGCATTTTTTCTGCTCTTTAGCTCCTCTCCTGAACTTGCTCGTGATGGTTTTTTTTGCAGCCCGTAAATGCTCCTCTTCTAATATATAGCTCGGTCTTTGTTCTGACAGTATGCAGTGAGCGTGCTCCCAGCATATACACAACAGCCCCCCCAACAATGCATATGTACACCTTGTGGGTGTTAAAGCCCATGCTTTTGCCACGACACAATTATCCTGTAGTCGTAAAGGAGTTAAACAAATGCACCAAATAAAAAACTGACATGTCCTTAATAAAATGTAAACATTACTTAGTTATGCAATTTGTAAGGGTGTGTGTTAATGGGCTTTTGTTTGCATCACAATGGTTTCTTTCCCAATACAAGTCTATGGAAATGGAAAAGCGGCTGAAGGAGGTCCATTTTATTCTCTTTCCTCTTCTTCTCTATACCTCACTTGTTGTCATCTCTTTCATATCTACTACAAAAAACCTACACCCTGTTCATTCAACAAGCTTTATTAGACAATTAATTCTCTTGTATCATACTGTCCTTAACCACTTTTACCCCCTTCCAGTCCAGGCCAATTTTCAGCTTTCAGCGCTATCACACTTTGAATGACAATTGCGCGGTCATGCAACACTGTATCCATATGAATTTTTTTGCATTTTTTGAGACATAAAACTTTATTTTGGTGGTATTTATTCACCACTGGGATTTTTATTTTATTTTTTTTGCTATATAAATGAAAAAGTCCAAAAAGTTTGAAAAAAAGTGTTTTTCTTTTAACATTTTGCAAATGAATAATCTTTCTTCATAAATCTTGGCCAACATGTACTCGGTTATCTTTTTAGTAAAAAAAAAAATAACCCAAATTAGTTTATAACCAAAAATTATATTTTTCTCTAATTTTTTTTTACTTTTTTTTAATTTTTGTATATTATTATTATTTTTAACATACTTTCACCCTAGCAGTACAGTGTCACCATAGTGCCACTGTACTACTTGTGGGGGGTGATGAAGCTTTTTTTTTTTTTTTTTTTTACATAAAGACTGTAAAAGCAGTCATTTCTCCTCTCTGGCTGCATTCTTGCAGCCATTGAGAAATACTGTGAGAGCTGTGATTGGTCACAGCTTGTCACATAGTACAAGGCTGTTGTGAATAGCCGTGTACCATGTGACCTTTGTGATCATTCACAGATTTCACTAGTAGTAAGCAATGATGTCAGAAGTGACATCTTGCTTACTACTATTCATGTGATAACTGATTGGCCAATCAGCAATCACATGATCGGGACCTCACACAGAGGTCTCGTACAGTGATCGATGTTCGGCCACAGCGGGCACCGGATCGCGCTGCCCGCGTGCTCCCAGGGAGCACGTACAGCTTGAAAATGTGGGTGCCGTTTATGAACGGCAACCAGTTCCTGCACTGTTCCCGTCCGGTCATTTATGTACATGGGCCGGACAGGAAGTGGTTAAACTAACTTTCATCTAAACTGTCAAGCCTCTGAAAAGTGATGCACATTCAGATCGCTTTCCAGAAGTGTTTGACAGGTGGTGAGGAGACAAATGCTGTACCATGCAGTTGTGGGATGTTTGTCACACTGCCGTATTCACTTGACTGGGTCATGTCTGCCGAGTGATCATTTATGCTCTGGGTGCAAACTAAAGCATCATAACCACGTCATATGAACACCACTGTTCTCTGCCTTTGCAGCTTAAGGGGGGTGCTAAAAACAAAGCTCAAACACGTTTTTAATACCCCCCCCCCCCCCAACCACAAGCCGTTAACTTGTATTTTAAGGCCCACAGTTATAAGGCAATGGAATGGCCTTACTGTACTGCACACACACAAACAAAAATGCCCCCACAGCAGCATCATTAATTGACAGAGACCTGTCACCGTGGAAGAGCGACTCATAGTTCTGAATATAACACAAGTGCGGTGACCTCACTGCACTTGTAGTCCACTCATGCTTTCTCCAACCCAGTAAATGAAGGTCCATATCACATGAAGGACTTTTCCCGAATAGTTTCCCGAAGCCAGGAGCACTGCACCCATGATCCACTAATACAAAAATACATACAGTCAGGTCCATAAATATTGGGACATCGACACAATTCTAACATTTTTGGCTCTATACACCACCACAATGGATTTGAAATGAAACGAACTGCAGACTGTCAGCTTTAAATTTGAGGGTATTTACATCCAAAGCAGGTGAACGGTGTAGGAATTACAACAGTTTGCATATGTGCCTCCCACTTGTTAAGGGACCAAAAGTAATGGGACAATTGGCTTCACAGCTGTTCCATGGCCAGTTGTGTGTTATTCCCTCATTATCCCAATTACAATGAGCAGATAAAAGGTCCAGAGTTCATTTCAAGTGTGCTATTTGCATTTGGAATCTGTTGCTGTCAACTCTCAAGATGAGATCCAAAGAGCTGTCCCTATCAGTGAAGCAAGCCATCATTAGGCTGAAAAAACAAAAAAACAAACCCATCAGAGAGATAGCAAAAATATTAGGCGTGGCCAAAACAACTGTTTGGAACATTCTTAAAAAGAAGGAACGCACCGGTGAGCTCAGCAACACCAAAAGACCCGGAAGACCATGGAAAACAACTGTGGTGGATGACCGAAGAATTCTTTCCCTGGTAAAGAAAAACACCCTTCACAGCAGTTGGCCAGATCAAGAACACTCTCCAGGAGGTAGGTGTATGTGTGTCAAAGTCAACAATCAAGAGAAGACTTCACCAGAGTGAATACAGAGGGTTCACCACAAGATGGAAACCATTGGTGAGCCTCAAAAACAGGAAGGCCAAATTAGAGTTTGCCAAACGACATCTAAAAAAGCCTTCACAGTTCTGGAACAACATCCTATGGACAGATGAGACCAAGATCAACTTGTACCAGAGTGATGGGAAGAGAAGAGTATGGAGAAGGAAAGGAACTGCTCATGATCCTAAGCATACCACCTCATCAGTGAAGCATGGTGGTGGTAGTGTCATGGCGTGGGCATGTATGGCTGCCAATGGAACTGGTTCTCTTGTATTTATTGATGATGTGACTGCTGATAAAAGCAGCAGGATGAATTCTAAAGTGTTTCGGGCATTATTATCTGCTCATATTCAGCCAAATGCTTCACAACTCATTGGACGCCGCTTCACAGTGCAGATGGACAATGACCCAAAGCATACTGCAAAAGCAACCAAAGAGTTTTTTAAGGGAAAGAAGTGGAATGTTATGCAATGGCCAAGTCAATCACCTGACCTGAATCCGATTGAGCATGCATTTCACTTGCTGAAGACAAAACTGAAGGGAAAATGCCCCAAGAACAAGCAGGAACTGAAGACAGTTGCAGTAGAGGCCTGGCAGAGCATCACCAGGGATGAAATCCAGCATCTGGTGATGTCTATGCGTTCCAGACTTCAGGCTGTAATTGACTGCAAATGATTTGCAACCAAGTATTAAAAAGTGAAAGTTTGATTTATGATTATTATTCTGTCGCATTACTTTTGGTCCCTTAACAAGTGGGAGGCACATATGCAAACTATTGTAATTCCTACACTGTTCACCTGATTTGGATGTAAATACCCTCAAATTAAAGCTGACAGTCTGCAGTTAACGCACATCTTATTCGTTTCATTTCAAATCCATTGTGGTGGTGTATAGAGCCAAAAATGTTAGAATTGCGTCGATGTCCCAATATTTATGACCTGACTGTACATAAATAAATGCACGTTTGCTTTTCTGGACTAAACCTTTTTTATACAAACACTCGAAGTATGGTAGCACCCAGATGATGTTGAGTTCCCCTTTAAACTCTAACACTTCTAGCAGCCTGTGTTTGTAGAAGCAAGGTTTTTGGCTCATCTTCCCCCCTCCCATATTTCCTGTGGATGGGTCTGTAGCTGGTATTTCTTATCTGCAGCTGCTGGCCAAATTTATTCTGCAGAGTTTAGGAAGCCTTTTGAGTGTATAGAAAGTAGGAAAGGAATGTATGCCTTGTGACGTAATCCTTGGTATATACGCATGTAAGAGGTTTTCTATAACTCACTTAGTAGATGAAGGCACAAGCCATCTGTTGAGTCAAAACAGCGCTGTTTTTAATAAATCAGTTGCTTCCTTCAGAAGTCCGAGTCTGGAGTTTTATCTGATTTTGCGGAAATTGCTACTACAGAAGGCCTCATTCACACGGGGTGTACATAACCATCCACCTGTAGAGAGCCGTGTGTACTCACATGGGAATGCCCAGGAGTTCCATGCATCTCCGTAGGGGACGTCACATTGGGAGCAGCGGTAGGGTTGTCACCTCATCCCTTTAATTACACAGGTTCTGGGGCTAATTTAATGCTGATAAAGGCACTAAGTGAATTTAATTACCACTTTAATCAGCCACAGAACCTGTGTAATCAATATGTGTTCGGGTTTAAAGGGATAAGATGGAAACCCTAGGCTGTGTCCATGCAACTGCTGCTTTACAATTGAAAACAATGGGACTGCCTGCATGAGGATGCATGGACCGCCTGTGCGTCCCTGTGCAGGTAAAGATGGTCCTCCACAGGCGTATGGTTATGTACTACCCATGTAAATGACGTCTAAACTAGCAAGTTAAAAGTACTGCATGCAAAGCTGTAGTGCATATTTATAAAGCAGTGACTCTGACAGGTGCATTAAAGGACAGCGATTGATTCACCACCAATAAATGTCTGAAAATCTCACTCACTGCTTTATATGTGGAAAAAGGCAAACAGGTGGAGCAAACACCTAGTGCATTGTCCAAGGTTTATTAGAAAGTCAAAAAGACGAAAACATACTCACAGACATAGCATGTTTGTAAAGCTTAGTATGGAAATGGCCACAACAGAGGGCAGGGTGTTCCGACTGTCAGTGTGGTCTGCTTCTAACGCGTTTCGGGGACGAGTCCCTTTCCTCAGAGCTAGTGTATGTTTTCATCTTTTTTACTTTCTAATAAACCTTGGATATTTCACTAGGTGTTTGTGCCACCTGTTTGCTCTTTTTCCAGTTGTTGATTTCCCTGACTGAGGAGGGCAGCATCCCCAAAACGCTATCCATAGGCCATCTTTTGCCATGGTTCCCCTGGCTTCACTTTGGCAGTTGATTTCTGGAGCGCTGGAGAGTATACACTGTCATACTGTGCAGTTGTAAAGTGCCAAGTGACTGGTAGACTCAATGGTGGTGCTCCGTAATAGTTGAATTGCGCACTAACCAGAAGTATAATAATAATACGCGTTATATATTATATCCCGAAGTATCCTCATCAGGTATAGGTCTGGTCAAATCTGGTAGTCCTCCCTCAGGGTGGTCATCATCAGGTTCCCAGAAGCCAAGATTAATCGGATCCAGATAGCCAGAGGTCCATGTGGATGGAGCTGTCTGCTAACAGAAAGTCTTCCTCCTCTTGGAAAGGGCCTTGTGAATAAATACTCCTCTGTGCATACCTTTGTTTAGCTATGAGGTACTCAGACTACAGTTTTCCCAGCTCTCTGCTCCTTCCCTCACAGCCTTGAGGAGGAAGACTTTCTGTTAGCAGACAGGTCCATCCATTCCCTAAACAGGGACCTCTGGCTATCTGGATCCGATTAATCCTGACTTCTGGGCACCTGATGATGACCATCCTGAGGGAGGACTACCAGATTTGACCAGACCTATACCTAATGAGGATACTTCGGGATATAATATATAATGCGTATTATTATTATACTTCTGGTGAGTGCGCAATTCAACTATTACTCACGGAGCACCACCATTGAGTCTACTAGTCACTTGGCACTTTACAACTGCACAGACTGTTCATATTAAATCATATTTTAATCATTGCGAATACATATTGACAATTCTTAGCGCTGCACTATTTATTCCTTCTGTTGTTTAAGGCTTGTGTTGGTTACCTTGAGTGCACAGCAGCTTTTTGGCTAGCGCTCACTTTTACCATTGATTTTTATACACGGTCATACTGCTTTATATGTGTTTTGTGGCTTTTCCAGAAGGTCTCCCATCTGCTGTGCAGGCATTCTAAGAGGATGAAAGAAAGAGCGCACAAACCTTGCGCATTACCTCAATAAATAGTGACTAATTTTATTATTAAGGAAATATACTCACAAAGTGATGGTATAACAGGCATAAGTAACCATAATCCAAACAGGGTTACAGGTAAATATAAAAAGAGGGGGGGGGGGAATGAAGGCTAACGCGTTTCGAAGGGTGCTCCCTTCTTCATCAGAGCTGGGTTGAGCAGATAGAGACTTCAGTATGGCAGAGTTCCCATGGCAAGGAGACATTCAGCCACTGAGTGTCAGTATTACAGCAGTTCAGCCTGTTTAGGTCAGTTTTATCAAGCTTCCCCCAGCTTCATGATAGAGCTGCACAACCTCTGATCACCAGCGGATGAACACACAACACGCTGCTTGTTACTAACGCCCGTTTGATCTGAGTCTTTGAGCGCAGGAGATAATGG